ATTGTGTTTGTTCAGCAACGCGAGATATAAGTGATGTGTCGATAAGAGATTCCTCCTGAGAGAACATTCTATGAAAAACTGCCTCTACTTAGGTGTTACAAACGTGAATAAAATATGGAACACTACAGGTTGGCAACGTGCGAAACCACGATCAATTACTAATGTTCAGCGGCGAAAACAATTGAAAAGCTAAGTAAAACATATTATATAATGTCACTCAAACCACTGAACACTGGGCAGGTGTTCATACCTGACCAACGCGCTGACCGCATGGAATTTTCGGGGGTTATCTTTGCGTGTTTGACACATAATTAGGGGCCAGATTTTCATAGCATATCCTCTCGGAAAGTACTCCTCTTAGCACAATGTCTAATTCTTGCATTGTTTTATTTTACGAATTCTCTTTTACTATGTAATTACCATTACAAACACCAATATAGTGAAACTTTTAAAAATATTATAACTGTAAATATATCCATTTTAATTACATTGTTGTTATACTGAAATACTAAGAAAAAATTGTGTCTTTTCATGCGACCTTGCTTCACTGAATGATAGTTTTAATTACAGCAGGTCAATAAGATATGTCAAAATTAATGAACAGCACTGGATAGGGAGTATTGCCAAAACAATAAGACCTGATAATTTGGCTCCACATCGGGTGTGCAAGTGTTTGATATACAATATAGTAAATATCAGCAGATACTTTATCAATTTTATAATGGATAAAGTTACAATGAGATTACGATTTGTCTCCAACATAAACTACGTAAATGGGTAAAACATCGTCGTTGAAACTGATATGGAATTTTTTACACGATTAAACTTGTTATGCAGGAAATTTTAACACATATCTTATGGTGTATAACCAGAAAAATTGGACTTCTAATGCAAGAGAAAATGCAATGAATAATACTGGGGTAAATAGGAAAATTGTGGTGTGACATGAATAATGGATTCAATTTTACTAGCGCTATGACGGCTTTTCTTTTCCGCAAGACTTATTACACCATCAACTAGAAACAGGACAATCTTTAGAAAATAATATTTTTACTTATTAGAGTATGCATTACGGACTTCGAGTTCCTTTTCAACTGTTTGTGATGTAAATGGTTATGAGAAGCACAGAAATGATGACGATTGATAACATACGGATGATAATTATTAATTTAATAAGGGAAGCGCATATTCTATCAAATTGGAAGTATTCCGAAAACTTGAGAGGCCGGTGTATTAATTATTAGTAGAAGGATTAACAAGACGGCGCCAAATATATATATTAATTCCAATAAACTTACCTGATAAAGAAAAATGTTTCAATCATAGTCGTTGCATTAAAGGAAATTTCGACAGGGAGATCGTTAAATAATTCAGCTAAATTTTTAGTATATACTGTAAAAATGTAATTATAATTTATTATATCAAACACAAAATAATTTGCAAAACACATTAAAAAATATTTCCAGCAAACTGCAAAGTAAACAAAGAGTGTTACATGCTTTAATAAGTGAAAGACTGCATTTTACGAAGGAAGTTTCCGCAGGAATATATAGGCCTAAACGTAAATTCTTTTGCCCATTTACATAATTGGTATATTAGGTTTCTAAATGAACTGTATAGAAAAGTAAACAAATTAATGATGTTACAATCGTAGCTGATGCAATAATTAATACCGTATTTCTGCAGTTTCACAGTGATGCCTCATATAACCCTAAGATACCAGCATGATTGAAAACCCGGGTTGTACGGGCATTTCGGTTAAACTGCGACTAGAAAATAAAATTAATCAAATCAAAAAAGTTGAAACAATTTACTAGTTCCTAAAATTTGATATGTTTAACTTTGCGTTTGTAATCAAATTATAATAAATAAATATACAAATGAACATTTTTCATTTCACATTGTCAGAAAAATAACAAATTTGTGATTTTTCATAATTTCTGCATTTCATCATAGATTACGTGTGATTCTTGGGTGACATTAAATTGTACAATTTTACGATTTTAGAATAAAAACTGGCCTCTTTAGGCGATTTGGAAAGCATCTATAACATCAATTAAACACGCATGCCAGTTTTTACCATTAAAAAGTATATGATTTCATGGTCTCCCCGTATAAACCGACATCCCTACAATTCGCGAAAACATGTCTATTTCTTTCAAATATAAACCGTATAACTAACATATAGTGTTTACCTGCACTTTACAACAGAATTTTAAACATTACGATGTTGATTGTCTGTATTAGTCAGGTTTTACTTTATATGAATCAATAAAATGTTATATGGCTGCTTTTACATGTAACTTATTTAACCCTTAACGCACATTTACGAATAAACATTAATATTTGAGTACTTACCTGCCTTATTCGGGAATGCACTTACATATATTAGAACATGAGCAAACACGATTGAGATGATAACTAAGGATTTTATTCCACAGAGTGATGATGTTTTCTTATTTATAGCCGAGGACAAAAGCTTTCTTCCGGAACTTAAAACAGAAACCGAGGTAATTGTTTCCAGAAATATTTCTGAAAAAATAATTTATTTCTATTTCAATACATAAATTTAGACTCTAGAACATTTAAATTGATATTCTAAATATGAAACTTTGGCTTCTACTTCAATGTGATAAAATATAAAACGGTTCTATTATGGATTTTGAATTACGAATGTTTGTTTTTTTTACTCTTTTTTACTCTTTCTGCCCAACAATGGGAAAATGGAAAAAAATCACATAATGTATTCAGTGGTGGGTTCGGACCAGACAAGATATATGATATTTTTCTACGTTTCTCTATATGTCTAACACCTAAATATGGGACAGAAATAAGATAAAAGAAGATTTGAAAGCCAGTTCTCCATAGTCCTATTGGCAGATAGAACTTGCAGAACTTGCTCTGAAAACCTGAGTGATGTGCTGAGACATTGTTTAATTGAATACAGAACTCAAGTGATGCTATGTCTAATCTAACCGATTTTGCTTCTATTCAACATATTTTCCTACACATAAATGAATCTTCTGTATATGTATTTTGAACGTTACCTTATAAGAAGCTGTCTTACGAGAACCCTCTAACAAAGGATGTGTCTATCGATTAAAAAATTTACCCTATTTCTATTTAAGATATTCTAATAATAATGTATGATCATAATAAACTAATTTTAAATTGAAAACATTAACGTAATTAAGATATCTATGTAATTCTGTTATTAATATAAAGATGTTCTTACCTTGTATATTACTGGACGTTATGATATGCAATTTCAACAGTACATCTACGACAGTTGCAATTAATATCCACAGAAAAAATAAACAAAATGTAATTCTGGAAGAAAAAAATTAAAATGAATATAGAAATACTTTTCATATTACTAAAATCATTTACTATTTTATCAAATAATATATAACGTTATAAAATTAATAATTGGTAAAATGTAATAAAATATTTCAGGTGACGTCAATTAAATCATTACTATTTTATGCTGACTGAAAAAATATTCAGAAGTTGAAATGCAACAAAATCTGCTATGAGGACATTCCAGGACGTTCTTCAAATATTTCCGTACAAAATTAGTAATAAAACTCGCCAAGATCGCTATTTTTGCGCTACAAGTAACAAATGTTTTAATTGTACAAGACATTTACTTTATATAGAGATCTGGAGATGAAAGAATGCTGTCGGATGTGGTCTCCATTCTGACTTTTTAAAACATGGNCAGACCCCTCCTAAGGGCAGGCAGGTGCCGTGGTGGAACTCCACACTTTCAGAACTGAGAAAAACAAATAACCTACTACGCAAAAGATACCAAAGCACATTCAGTGAGCCTGGACGTTCCAACCTCAAAACTCAGTACTTACAGCACCAAAGAATCTACAAACATGAAATTAGAACATCCAAGCTCAATTCCTGGCGGGAATTCTGTACCAGTGCCTCTGGCAATCCTTGGGGCTATATTACAAAGTTGTGCACCAGGAAACTGAGGCAACACCGCATCCTTACTACAGTCTCTATTAACAATACCTTCACCACCAACTTAGAGGAAACCCTAGAAGCTCAAATGAATAATTTCTGCCTCGATGATTCTCCTAACACCGACAATGACTGGCAAAGTAATATCAGACACAGTCAACAAAATAGCATCAACACTACCGACATGCCTCCCTTCAACCATGAAGAAACTAACCAGATCTTTAACACCCTTAAGCGCGGTAAGGCTCCTGGAATGGACAACATCACTGCAGAAATTGCCAAACACATTTGGACTTTAATCCCAGAAAATATTCTTAAAATTTTCAACAACTGCCTTAGACATAGTATCTTTCCCAGTGCTTGGAAGATAGCTAAAATCATACCTATCCCTAAGCCAGGCAGCAATGAAGATCTTCGACCAATCTCCCTTCTGCCTACCATGGGTAAAGTTCTGGAGAAGTTAATTAATAATAGACTCATTTGGCACTTGGAAAATGGCAATTATCTTAGCGAACACCAGTTTGGCTTCAGGCCACAAAGGTCTGCTCCGCAAGCTATCAACATGGTAATAAGCAAAATCCACTCTCTTCTTAAAAATAACAAATACATACTGGGAATCAGCATGGTTATTTCTAAGGCCTTCGACAGCGCCTGATGGCCTATTATCCTCAAACATCTCAGATATCAACTGCCCAGCTAACATATATCATCTGATCAAGGATTATCTTACAGATAGAACTGCCATACTACAATATGGTGACTGCCAACAGGAAAGAAGAGTGACACGTGGCTGTCCTCAGGGGTCTGCCTGTGGCCCCACTCTTTGGAATATTGCTTTTGACACGTTCCTGCGGACAGACTTTGGGCAAGACTCCATCACAGCTTATGCTGATGATGTTTTTATTTTAATTGGTGGAAATTCCAGAGCTGCCATTGAACACAGAGCAGAGCTTGTTATTAAAAACATTTGCATATGGGGTGAAAATAACAAGCTATCCTTCAATGCAGAGAAGACCAAATGCATCATGTTCAACAGCCCAGGTAAGAACAACCTCTACGCACGTGTTCCGACCATCAGAATGTATGGGAAATCTGTCAAGGTGAAAAAGCATATCACTTACCTGGGCATTACTCTCGACCCCACTCTAACCTGGACCCAGCATATTAAACATATAGCTGCTCGCACGGGCCTCATCTTTCATACCTTTGCCAAGTATGCCAAAAATAAATGGGGCCTCAATTCAGAGGCAATGGGGACCATCTACGACCACATATTTATTCCTACCATCACTTACGCTTGCGGCACCTGGGGTCAAGCCGCTCAAAAAGTTCATCCTAGACGTGCACTCACCTCTGCCCAACGTAAAGCCCTACTACTCATAACAAAGGCCTATCGCACCGCCCCAAATGCAAGCCTTCAGGTGATGGCCCTCAAACCGCCAATTGAAAAAGTTATTGACTTATATTACAAACAGTGGAATGTCAAGTGGGGACAAAACATTAACATCAACCCTTCCTACACAATTAATGCCAATGACTTGGAGAAGTCCACTCCCTTTCACCTTACTCATTACCCTGGAGATCTTAACCCAATTAAATTTAATGGGAACTTTAATAACAACTGCAAAGTGTTTACGGATGGCTCCAAAGTTGATAATCATGTTGGATGCAGCTTTGTGGTATATAGGGACGAAGATGAAATCTTCCACAAACAGCTCAGACTTGCCGACCATTGCTCAGTCTTTCAGGCTGAGCTCTTTGCTGTAAATGCCGCCATACACTGGTGTGAAAATAATTTCTCTGGCCTTAGTATAAACATCGTCTCTGACAGTCAAGCCACAATTGCCAGCATTAAAAACAAACATCCACACTACCTAGTTACTGATATTTATTGCACTATTCGTCATTCCACCAATGAATATTTCTTGAACTGGACTCGTGCACATCAGGGTAATCCTGGTAACGAGCGGGCAGACGAACTAGCAAAGGAGGCTGCCACTGACCTCACTCTCACCACTAGTTATAATAATATGAGCAATTCCACCTTAAAGCACATCCTTTGGAACAATCTCCTCGAAAACTGGCAGAATGACTGGAACAACAACCGTCAATCAATTACCAATAACTTCTTCCCGCATATCTCAGACATTTATAACTATAAATGGTTGAAACTCAACCATTCCACATCGCAATTTTTTACCAACCATGGTAATTTCCACTGCTATCTTAACAGATTTACCAACTACTCGAACAATACATGCTCCCTCTGTGGCACTCAGGATGGAGCACTTCATTATATTTTCAACTGCCCAATGCTCGATGCTGAGCGGCAACATTTAAAGATTATAATCAACTCTCGGGGAAAGGACTGGCCCTGTAGTTGCAACGAGTTGATCAACGAACATTCCACTTACGTTTACTTCAATCAGCTAGTCAACAAATACTGTAAACTTGCAGCTCTCAACGTTTCAACTAGCACCTCCTAGCAACATAAATACCACCACTTATAACTTATTCATATTGCTATGCAATTCCACTATGTATTTGACCGTTGACATGTACTTGTCTTGTATATTGTGTTCCAATTCAATGTCCTGTATATAAAGTCATTCTTATTTGTTACGCGATCTCTAGTATGCAATTAAACTGCTTTGTATATCATGTTATGTATATAGTGCTCCGTATCTACAGTCCCATCTTTTATTTCATACCATGTATATAATTGATTTTTATCGAATATCATGTTATGCTATGTTATGTACTCTATTCCTGTAACTTTACTGTTGTATGCGTTTTCAAACCGGTTGTGCTTATGCGGTACCGGGCTTGTACCTTTGTACGGCAATAAAGAACCTGAACCTGAACCTGAACATGAACCTGTACTCTGCAATATGTATGTAAGTAATGTGTGCTGTCCCAAACGGAAACTTAACCCGAAAAAATTTCGGTACCGTGCGAATCCAGTTTACACAGATTTTACGTATGTAAATCATATTTAAAGAAGTAATATCAATATACTCATCAATGTTCTTATGGTGTCAGTTCAAATAAAGGCTTTTTCACCTAACCATGTTGCAAAATTACCTTTTATTTAAATATAATTTGTAATATTTTAGCGAAATAAAAATATCATAAAAATTTGAATTTTTAAATTAAAAATTATATAAATTTTACCATTTTGAATTTCAATTCTTGTCTTTTCGATAGAAAGGATCCAATTAGTAATCCAACGCAATAAGTACTTAAATGTGTACTGTACGGTTTTCGATAATTTTCAAGAAAATATCTTCTCAATTTCCTGAAATGATAAATACTAAAATACTGTGTATTGTTATGTTGCAATACATGTACAATAATAGATATAACACTTATTTGTCACATGCGAACATAAAAACAATATAATTTATAGATTTTAGGTAGCATAATATCAAAAATTATATACACTATGTGTTTCATAATAAAATTTAAAATTTCTATTGGAGTAATATATTTTTGTTTTACAATAGTTTAGAGGATTATCACGTTAAGATCCGAATCTTCTGTATCAGAGAAGGGATGGACGAAGACGAGTATAATTATGATTATCATTATTCAGCTGGTCTTCGTCCACCTTTGATAATCATTAGAAATTTTTATTGTACATGTAGAATAATTATTCACGAATTTACTTTAAAAAGAATAATATTTCATAATCTGATACGTAGTTTCAGAAGGGTTTTCAGCATCGTGATAACGCGACAATGCATATTGAACGAATTCTTGTTCAGTTATACACACAGAGGAATTCAAAAGAAATTCAAACAAATCTGTGAATATTGTGTTTTTTAAAATTGGCAAGTTACGTTTTAATCTTTATTTTACCATTTTGCGTTGGTTTATAGGACATTATACTTTATAATTTCAATATTTCTTCGTTTTTGGGCTGAAATTTTTTAAATTGCACATACATTCTCATTCTCTTTCCGTAATATATTTCGTTAGAAAATCGATATTTTGTTAAATGTCAACTTACCACAAATCGATTGAAATGCCAGCCATTGTATAATTTCCAGTAATAAGTAAATGGGTAACGTTTGATATAAACCCTGCAAGTACGAAGACAAATAAAATGATATTTGCAGCACTTGGCCATCTGAAATTTTGAAAAAAAAATTCTTCTTTACGAAAACATTTATGTCAACAATTAAATGAAAAATGTGATGTGTAATCGATTTTCAAAAGTTGTAATGAGGAGGAATTATTCATTTATAAGCGCATGAATATATAACAGTGTAGTCGATATCGCTGATCTGAATATTCTTTAATATTCAGATCGACGTGAAAAACTTAATCAGAAATAATTATTGTTCGATCAATAAATGATTCAACCTATCAGAATCAGAAATTGGTGAAAGAATTCTGAAAATTTAGATCGAAATACAGTTCAAATTTCTAAAGCGATGGACAGAATAAAGCAATCAACAAGAAAGAAATTATTCAGTGGAATCATTTACTATAGACAAGAAACTTGTTAATACATCCATTCCCTTCGAGAAGAGGAGTCTGAATAGCGAGGATATTGAATTACTTTGCGTGTAGGCAGTGAATGATGTGACCTGATGCCCATGAATACTAAAGTTTTTGGAGGAGTGTGCCAAATAAAACTGACATTTAATTTTGCAGGCAAAAATTAAACCCGAGTAAAAAGATATATGATGAGATTAATCTTTTAATTGAGAAAGAAGGTAATAGGCATTCACGATGGCTGGAATTTCGAATAACTAAGAAACCGAATTATAAAGGAACAGATTAGCAAGTATATGAAGAACCAGACAAATGGCAAATCTTTATTTAATTTCCAGAAAATTATTTCATAAACTCTGATCCTTTGGATATTTTGCAAATCTTCACGTTTCGAGAACTGAGAATTCGAACAAGTAAAAGAAAAGCACAAAAGAATATTGTGAATATGTATGTGTTTGTGTGTGTGTTGGTGTCTATTCTGTTTAATATCTCAGAATGGGGTAAAGGTTAAAGATCAAGTAGTATAGATCATGCACAATATCTCGACAAGAGTCATGTGACTTAATAGTTTAGTCATTATTAGCATTTAGAAATTTATTAAATAAAATTCATCACTATACTAATAATTAAGCTTTTTTGCCATTTTAAAATAATTAACTAATAGAATTGAAAATTTTTCAGGATAAAATCTCATAACAGACGGCGTCATACAAAATTATGTTATGATTAATAAAAAATAACTTTTATGTTATACATAAAAGTTATTTTTTTAATAAAATGTCTTAACCGCCGGGAAAGCTACGAAATTGATTACTAGATTTTTGAATGTTTCAGGACATTAACATAAATAGACATCACTTAAACATTTGCTGAAAAGTACCAATAAATTTGTTGATTTATGAAACAGTTTAGTTATTTATTACAAAACGTAGTTTTATTCCTCATCATTTTGTCCTGTGGAAACAGACTATTTTACATCCATTGTGGGTTTTTCCAGGTTGTTAAGTAAGACGATACTGTCGGAAGAAATATAAATTCACATATCCGGGATGGACCCTTATAAACAATTATTTATTTACCTGTCTTTTATGAAAAGCAATGGAAACGTCAGCAAATTTAGCTGTACCAACACATGAAGGAACCACAGAAAATCTATATACTGAAAAGAAACGTTACAAATTGTTATATTATATTAAGAAATAAAATTAATAAAAATTATTATTATTAATGTGTAGTATTTTTCACTTTAATAAAGTACACGATTAAAACACCTTAATGTGGGATTCTTCAAAATTCTGCCAATGGAAAACGTATTTCAACCAATTTTTTTCTGCAAATTTAGCTAATTGTTGAATGAAATGCCAATGCGGACCATCGCCAAATAATGGAAGAATAATTATAGTAGCCAATACACATAAAATTGGCAAAGTTACTCTAGAATAAATTTTAACGTACAGATTATTCAAAATAATTAATATCTGAATATTTTATAATGAAACCATACCTGATTATTCTTTTCATAATGAAGAAAAAATTTCCCAAATAAGAATCACTTCTTTTAAAATAGAATGTTAGAAATCCACTAGAAATAATAGAAACGATTAAATAATAATATTTATATTGTGTTTGTTCAGCAACGCGAGATATAAGTGATGTGTCGATAAGAGATTCCTCCTGAGAGAACATTCTATGAAAAACTGCCTCTACTTAGGTGTTACAAACGTGAATAAAATATGGAACACTACAGGTTGGCAACGTGCGAAACCACGATCAATTACTAATGTTCAGCGGCGAAAACAATTGAAAAGCTAAGTAAAACATATTATATAATGTCACTCAAACCACTGAACACTGGGCAGGTGTTCATACCTGACCAACGCGCTGACCGCATGGAATTTTCGGGGGTTATCTTTGCGTGTTTGACACATAATTAGGGGCCAGATTTTCATAGCATATCCTCTCGGAAAGTACTCCTCTTAGCACAATGTCTAATTCTTGCATTGTTTTATTTTACGAATTCTCTTTTACTATGTAATTACCATTACAAACACCAATATAGTGAAACTTTTAAAAATATTATAACTGTAAATATATCCATTTTAATTACATTGTTGTTATACTGAAATACTAAGAAAAAATTGTGTCTTTTCATGCGACCTTGCTTCACTGAATGATAGTTTTAATTACAGCAGGTCAATAAGATATGTCAAAATTAATGAACAGCACTGGATAGGGAGTATTGCCAAAACAATAAGACCTGATAATTTGGCTCCACATCGGGTGTGCAAGTGTTTGATATACAATATAGTAAATATCAGCAGATACTTTATCAATTTTATAATGGATAAAGTTACAATGAGATTACGATTTGTCTCCAACATAAACTACGTAAATGGGTAAAACATCGTCGTTGAAACTGATATGGAATTTTTTACACGATTAAACTTGTTATGCAGGAAATTTTAACACATATCTTATGGTGTATAACCAGAAAAATTGGACTTCTAATGCAAGAGAAAATGCAATGAATAATACTGGGGTAAATAGGAAAATTGTGGTGTGACATGAATAATGGATTCAATTTTACTAGCGCTATGACGGCTTTTCTTTTCCGCAAGACTTATTACACCATCAACTAGAAACAGGACAATCTTTAGAAAATAATATTTTTACTTATTAGAGTATGCATTACGGACTTCGAGTTCCTTTTCAACTGTTTGTGATGTAAATGGTTATGAGAAGCACAGAAATGATGACGATTGATAACATACGGATGATAATTATTAATTTAATAAGGGAAGCGCATATTCTATCAAATTGGAAGTATTCCGAAAACTTGAGAGGCCGGTGTATTAATTATTAGTAGAAGGATTAACAAGACGGCGCCAAATATATATATTAATTCCAATAAACTTACCTGATAAAGAAAAATGTTTCAATCATAGTCGTTGCATTAAAGGAAATTTCGACAGGGAGATCGTTAAATAATTCAGCTAAATTTTTAGTATATACTGTAAAAATGTAATTATAATTTATTATATCAAACACAAAATAATTTGCAAAACACATTAAAAAATATTTCCAGCAAACTGCAAAGCAAACAAAGAGTGTTACATGCTTTAATAAGTGAAAGACTGCATTTTACGAAGGAAGTTTCCGCAGGAATATATAGGCCTAAACGTAAATTCTTTTGCCCATTTACATAATTGGTATATTAGGTTTCTAAATGAACTGTATAGAAAAGTAAACAAATTAATGATGTTACAATCGTAGCTGATGCAATAATTAATACCGTATTTCTGCAGTTTCACAGTGATGCCTCATATAACCCTAAGATACCAGCATGATTGAAAACCCGGGTTGTACGGGCATTTCGGTTAAACTGCGACTAGAAAATAAAATTAATCAAATCAAAAAAGTTGAAACAATTTACTAGTTCCTAAAATTTGATATGTTTAACTTTGCGTTTGTAATCAAATTATAATAAATAAATATACAAATGAACATTTTTCATTTCACATTGTCAGAAAAATAACAAATTTGTGATTTTTCATCATTTCTGCATTTCATCATAGATTACGTGTGATTCTTGGGTGACATTAAATTGTACAATTTTACGATTTTAGAATAAAAACTGGCCTCTTTAGGCGATTTGGAAAGCATCTATAACATCAATTAAACACGCATGCCAGTTTTTACCATTAAAAAGTATATGATTTCATGGTCTCCCCGTATAAACCGACATCCCTACAATTCGCGAAAACATGTCTATTTCTTTCAAATATAAACCGTATAACTAACATATAGTGTTTACCTGCACTTTACAACAGAATTTTAAACATTACGATGTTGATTGTCTGTATTAGTCAGGTTTTACTTTATATGAATCAATAAAATGTTATATGGCTGCTTTTACATGTAACTTATTTAACCCTTAACGCACATTTACGAATAAACATTAATATTTGAGTACTTACCTGCCTTATTCGGGAATGCACTTACATATATTAGAACATGAGCAAACACGATTGAGATGATAACTAAGGATTTTATTCCACAGAGTGATGATGTTTTCTTATTTATAGCCGAGGACAAAAGCTTTCTTCCGGAACTTAAAACAGAAACCGAGGTAATTGTTTCCAGAAATATTTCTGAAAAAATAATTTATTTCTATTTCAATACATAAATTTAGACTCTAGAACATTTAAATTGATATTCTAAATATGAAACTTTGGCTTCTACTTCAATGTGATAAAATATAAAACGGTTCTATTATGGATTTTGAATTACGAATGTTTGTTTTTTTTACTCTTTTTTACTCTTTCTGCCCAACAATGGGAAAATGGAAAAAAATCACATAATGTATTCAGTGGTGGGTTCGGACCAGACAAGATATATGATATTTTTCTACGTTTCTCTATATGTCTAACACCTAAATATGGGACAGAAATAAGATAAAAGAAGATTTGAAAGCCAGTTCTCCATAGTCCTATTGGCAGATAGAACTTGCAGAACTTGCTCTGAAAACCTGAGTGATGTGCTGAGACATTGTTTAATTGAATACAGAACTCAAGTGATGCTATGTCTAATCTAACCGATTTTGCTTCTATACATTTTCCTACACATAAATGACTCTTCTGTATATGTATTTTGAACGTTACCTTATAAGAAGCTGTCTTACGAGAACCCTCTAACAAAGGATGTGTCTATCGATTAAAAAATTTACCCTATTTCTATTTAAGATATTCTAATAATAATGTATGATCATAATAAACTAATTTTAAATTGAAAACATTAACGTAATTAAGATATCTATGTAATTCTGTTATTAATATAAAGGTGTTCTTACCTTGTATATTACTGGACGTTATGATATGCAATTTCAACAGTACATCTACGACAGTTGCAATTAATATCCACAGAAAAAATAAACAAAATGTAATTCTGGAAGAAAAAAATTAAAATGAATATAGAAATACTTTTCATATTACTAAAATCATTTACTATTTTATCAAATAATATATAACGTTATAAAATTAATAATTGGTAAAATGTAATAAAATATTTCAGGTGACGTCAATTAAATCATTACTATTTTATGCTGACTGAAAAAATATTCAGAAGTTGAAATGCAACAAAATCTGCTATGAGGACATTCCAGGACGTTCTTCAAATATTTCCGTACAAAATTAGTAATAAAACTCGCCAAGATCGCTATTTTTGCGCTACAAGTAACAAATGTTTTAATTGTACAAGACATTTACTTTATATAGAGATCTGGAGATGAAAGAATGCTGTCGGATGTGGTCTCCATTCTGACTTTTTAAAACATGGAGGGTAATAAACATTGTGTTTAATAGCCGACCGTGACGCTTTGTGATAATTGAAATACATTGTGACGATGTATTTCAGGGATTCCAAGTCTATAACATTTTCAAGAAATCACATGTTTTTCAGCGCCCAAAACCAAAAATTACACGGATCCAACATCTGATGCATCAAAGGAAACAAAGTGGTGAGTTTTGATATTGTTTTGTTTTCTTTATACATAAATATTTTTGGCATGTCCTGAAATGTAACCATTTCAGATTTGATTTGAATTGAACTGCAAAATATCTTCTGATATAATATTGAATAGGGTTATTTGAACAATATTCACTTAGTATTTGAGGCAATATACTTACATGCAAATTAACTGGGCAGTTGAAATGTCATTTTTATCATCCTTCGAACTGCAGTAATTAACTTTAACAGAAAATTTTTTAGGAAGTACTAAAAAAATATAAAAAAATTTATAAATTTAAAAGAACAGTTACACATAGCTATAACTAGAAATCACAAATCAAAATAAAAACTATTAACTAATTACAGAATTTTCACTATTCTGTACTCAATAATTAACTTAATACACTAGGTTGTTTCCCTTGAAGTATAAAAATCAAATTTGAAATTGCTCATGAAATACTGTAGTTGTACCTGTCATAGGTCAAGAAAGACCTTGACACTTGCCCCTGTGAGACCTAAGTATAAATTTTATTGTTTTTAAGAGATAAATTTTACTGGAATAATACAGCAGTAAAGTATACAGAAACTGATAATGTAATTCAATGAAGGAATTCAAATGTATATCCTAATAAACGAAGAACAATACAACAGCATAATAAAAAGTTCTCGTCTATTTCGTAACATTCTTTCACAAGTTTAACTGGTACATTCTATATAATAAAAAAATTCGAGTGTAGCTCTGACGTATAATAAGATGCAAAGGGTCGTCTGAATTGGTTTCAACATGCCATATAAAAAGAGATTATGCCCCATTCCGATAAGTTGAAAATGTAATAATTAAACGAATAAGGGCTGAAGAAACACCAACGATGGGATGCTGCAAAAGAATAAACATGGTATGTGGATTAACAAAAGTGTTAGGAAAATATAAAAAGAAATGAAAAGATACGCTGTCACTTGCACTTAAACAGACAAGATGAAGAATAAACAGCTACCAGTAATGCTCTTATTTGCAAGCAATAAGGCTCTTATTCGACTTAGGAATAGTATAGAAGTAAAATGGATATTAGGAAACTTGATAATATTTAATTATACTAGGTTATAAAATGTAAGTAATAACAAAAGTTAAAAGGAATAATCATGTGAAATTATAATACCAAAATCATTATTAGAAAATATTTAAAAATCACTATGACACTAGCTTATAGTTAAAATCGAATATAACACCATCCACAGTATTATGAGAAGTTATTACAAAAAAATTTTATATTATTAATTATCATAAAAAACAAAAAAGTCTTTATATATGTATTTCAAAAATATTGTAAATGCCAATAAGAAGTAAAATTTTTATTTACTCCCACATTACATGAGATATTACACATAACACCCTCTATCTCCTCACTACAAAGAGTTCAAAACTCCAAAATTTATTAGTATCAATTCCCCTTATATACATATTCCCATGCCAAATTACGTTTAACAATATTTTTATTTTATTTTGATATGTTAAACGAAATACATCCCAACACAACTTCACTCACATATACATACATAATATCTCTTGTAATTTTTCAATTTCACATTCGAGTATATTGGCTCAAAGGGTCTCATAACTTAGATTTGCAAATGACACAAAAGAATCAAATTACAATAGTTTCTCGAGTTGTGCATAACAGGCGAAAAAGTGAAAGTATCAGTTAATATAAAAAAATACAGAAAAACTACAGTAAATACACCCGTACTGTACATTCTAAAAATACAAAAAAATTATCATATTTCTTTTGTTATATATCTTGTTCCATTATTTTCAAAAATTATTATTTTTAATAAGTTCAACTGAAAATTACTAATAAAAGAGAGAAAATATTATAACATTTACTTCTGAGCACTATATTGGCCTCTCTTTATTGCTACATTTATCACCCCATTAGCGTTATGAAATCACTTTATTATTTTCAGATTAGCGTTATGAAATCACTTTATTATTTTCGAAATGCATTCTTTTTGAAATAATAAAGTGATTTTCTAAAGCTAACTGATGTCCTATGGTGGTGTTAATAAGTCTACAAATAAAGAAAGGCCAATATAGAGCTCACAAGTAAATACGATGACTACACAAGGAGCGTATCATAGAACTCTGTAACAGTTTTTGACATGCCGGATTAGCGTGAATATACCGTATTCAGATTACTGAATATATTGTCCTATCGATCAACCAATTTTTTAAAATATATTATTTACAAAAATATAGAAAATGTAGAGAAAACTGATCATGTCTTACGTACACAAAGATGTAATATGGATCTATATTAAATTTTTCTTGATTAAAATATAACAAATAATAAGAAATAGCTTTAATTTCTTACCCAATTTAATAATATTTATTAAATCATTTTCATTGCAGTCACTTGGAATACAGAAATCGATATATAGTCCGTTTTTCGTCATAACCATTATATGCAACATCTGAGCGATAGGAAATGGTTTCTGAAAGGTACAGTTCATTTAATATTGCATTTATTTATATTAAAGCATTTTGCGAAATTTTATTTATATAGCATTTTGTTATTAAATAATAAGTATTTAATACGATGAATACATAATTAAATTTTACATTTATTTCTTGTTCGTTCCTGTACAGAATATTAAAATATCCTAGTTTATTGAATGATAATTTATCAAATAATAAATCTATTTTGTAAAAAAGGGCTGAGGAATTTACACTTTAATAAAAAAAAATACGTAAAAAAGACTAAAAAATGTCTTCACTTTTCGCCATATCAATCACCAGGAACAATAGCCTTCCACAGCAGAGACGACCTTTCTCTACAGGATATGCCTCTGCAAAAATATGCAAAACAGTCTAAAAGTTTACCGGTGACGATCCCAGAATAATTAAAAATAAAAAAAATTAAATTAAAAAAAAGTTGAAGATTATTGTTCTTGATGATTGGACATGGAGAAAAGTGAAGCAATTTTTTGTTTTTTATGTATTTTTTTATTAAAATAAATTTATTTATTTAGGTTAGTTAGGAGTGAAATGGTTTACATTAGTTTCAAGATTTGCAGGTAGAAAATTAATTCCTGATTTAAGAACTCTATGTCAATCTAAACCATTTTCCCTCGACACATTTCCCGATTAATTATTTTTCGCTGAATCATATTTCTTCATGACAAATTTATTCTTTAACCGATTTTCTCTCTACCATTACTTCCTTCATTCATTTCCTCTTCATCAATTTCACTTTTTTCTCATTCTCCACTGACCCATAATGTTCACTTTCAATTACTCGAATTGTTTAATTAAATATATGTATGGATTCAATAATTATAAAATTAATTGAGAATGTTTATAATTTATTTTCGAGCAATTTCTAAGAAACAGAGACAATCCATTGTCATCCGTGTTGTTAATCTGATTACGAAACAATATATAAGATTTCTTATTATTATAATTTTTAAATTAAATATAAATATTTTAATTTAAATAATTGTTAATTAAAATATAACGTAAGATTGTACATATTTTCTTTGTAAATTCATATAAATAACATTTAGAAAGCTAGCGATTTCCTAAGCGTTTTTACATCTTTATTAAATACAAAACTTACAAAATATTCCCAGTAGAACTGAAGGCTTAAAGTATTTTATTTGTGCGCTTAATTGTTAGTACGTATTGCCAATACTATTTGTATTTACATGAACCTTTCCGAAGAAAAACCTTTACTACACAAAGCAGTGATAATGCATTAAATTCTTTGTATTTTTAAAAGGAATATTTCGGATTTCGTATGTCTCAAATCCTGGATGATTTTTTTTTAACAGGAGCAAAAGATGGCTCGAGTTGACGTTTAATAAAGTAAAAAGTTGATAAGATCTGTTTCTGTTAATTTGGAAAAATTTCTTTTTTATTTTGCTCATAGATTAGACATTGAAATTCATTTTATCTTACACATCTATATACACTACAAGCACATGATATTATAATATTAGAGTTGTTCTAGTTTTTGAAGTACAGTTTGCGACGAATTATTCTAAAAATAATAGAGAATTGAGTTGCCTGTTTTCAAAACATACCACGCGATGTTTTCCATAATTGCGATAAAGAATTATTTTGGAATCTCAACCGAAATCTATACCATGTGATAAAAGTCTGGATTCCAAATATTCATCAGTTTCCACGAAAATTAAATGAAAAATTGCTCTTATTGCATATTAAACGATACGTAATAAACGTTATATTTTTCCTGCTGTGAAGCGTATCAGAAGTAAAATTAATCAACTTAATTAATAAGGTATACTGTACTATAATTCAAAATACAGTGGTGCCTCGAATAACGTACGCCTCGAATAACGAACTTTCTGTTTGTCCGTTACGTGACTCGAGCAACGGACTGGCTGCGGACAACGGACTTTCCGTTCGGCAGTTACGTGAGGCGACCAATGGACTTTATACGAACAAGTGCGAATGATGTTTCCACTCTTTTGCCGTTGCCAATGACAATCTGCTATTTTTATAATATATTAGTATTATTAGAATATATTATTAGTATATCTGAAGTACAGAGCTCCCGTTGGGATTCGGATTACTCCCTTGTTTATTACGTACATCACCTCAGTGCGGGGTATTTACATTTATTCAAGTGTTGTGCAAATCATGGCTTCTAAAAAAACAGAAAGGTGATTTCAATTGAAACAA